CTCATTCTGCTAAAGCACACAGTATAAATTGGCTCCTGATGACTTTCCTTTGGAAATTTCCTTATAATAATCCCTATATTAATGCATCTCTCAACCTTCAGCAGGGAAGCATATATTTGCAATAAATGGTGATCAATACAGGTACTCACAACTAGCCAAAGTGCAGAGAATAAAGGACTGTGGATGCTTGGCTCTAAATATGACATTTACATGATATCTACTTCTACAAGGCTCAGTGTTAATTGTGAAAATGATGCATTAAAATGACTGATTGAGGTTTATGATAACAGAAAAGAAATAGGGTCTCCTGGAACCAAGATGTCAGTTGTATATATGAACTCAAATGCAGATGTGACAGCATGCAAATGATCAGTACACGTGCAAGCTAGACCAAATCCCAGCATGCATTGAGGCTGAGGACATGAAGTCCCACCCTTAGTCAAGGTGCTATAGGCAAATGAAAGCTGTTGGGAGAATCAGTTTCAGGAGAGTTGTGATGAATATGTTGACCATGCTCCAGTGAGAGACCACACATTCATGAATATATAGACATCAGAAATTGAACTTCATGGATAAAAAAGATAACAGCATTGGGTGGGTAGGTCTAGGAGGACTTGAGTAAGGTGGTGTATATGTAGTGGGTAGCCATTCCAGCTTTGATCTGGAAGTTCCAACCCCCATTGAGGCTTCAGTAACTGTCATGCCTACCAGGCGGGGCCAAGAGAGGACCCTGAAGACCCAAGAACTGGATGGGCCTGCTCTCTTGGTTCCTGAACCTTGAACGCTGGAGGTAGACCAAGCAGAGTTCTCCAGAGAACACAACTGGACTGCGTCACACCTTTCCCAGACCCCTTTAACTTATCCCTTCACTTGTAAGTTACCCCACAAAATAAACCTCCCTTTTAACTACATGAAGTGGCCTTAGTAATTTTACCAATATCAGCACATTGTTTGAAATTCTCAAAAAACAAATACAAATTAAATAATAAGAAATAAGCATCTATAGAAATGATCCCTGAAAGTACAATCTTTGGAAGGGAGTCAAATTTCCCCTTCTGTTCACTTACAGGGGACTCAGGTGCAGAAATTACGGATCAAACGCCCCCATGAATCCCATGCTGCCCATGAATAACTTCTGATTTTGCAGAGTTTGAGAATCAGAGAAGAGAGATGACTAGACAAATACTTAAGAGCTGTGAGGCAGCTGACACAGCACATGACCTCAAGAGATTTGTTTACCTACAGTTCTAAATGAAGAAGAGGAATAATTTACTCACTAGTTTTGGAGTCTGGTTCTGTGCATGAAGTG